ATTTTTCAAATATTAAACACAAAGATTGCATTATTAAATTGAATTTAACATCTTATCGGTTGAACTAAAAGTTTCTTAGATTAGTTTTTTTTTTAATAAAATGATAAATTATTAAAAATATTAATTACCGATTAAAAGAAGTGAGAAATGAGTTCAACTTAGGATTTCCTTTGCATGCTTATTTGACTTGGCCTATTAAAGTTATTAATTTATGTTATTATCCATTCACAAGTTCATTTAATCTTAATCTCTTAGCGATTAAACCTTTAGTATTTTAAATTAATCTTTAATCTCTTAATGAATTGCAAATTTAAGATTCGGCCTTTGGAGTTAACAAAAATATTTGAATTTTAACGGTATGCTCTATTCGATATGAGGTGGTAGGAGAGAATCCGTAATACAAAACTAAAACAAAATATCCACTATTGTTTCACAAAGTAAACCATAAATATTTTATTAGGTGATTGGTCATTAAAAATCATTATGAACAGACACTTGATAAATAATAATAATAATAATAATAATAATAATAATAATAATAATAATAATAATAATAATAATAATAATAATTCAAAAGGAAAAAGTCATTTAAGGATATAAGATTAATTTTAAAACCAATTACTCATCCTTAACAAATGAAAATTGAGTTACCCATTGTTCAAATAAGAAAGATAGATAAAACAATAAATTTATCACACATAAAAGATGTTTGAAGAAACTTAAACTCCAAAATTTTGAGTTGAATTGCACATCCTTTCTGTCCTCCTCCACTTTTTTTTTACTACAATGATAATTTTCTCTTCAAAATTCATGGTTAGTTTCCTCCTTGCCTTTTCTTAAATAGTAGTAAAAGATGTTCTATTTTTACATCTGATTGATGCAAAACAAAAGTTAAATCTCGCATAAATACATTGCGTACTACTTAAACACACTTCGAATTTGTAACGTGAAAACACAATGTATCTTGCTAGAATGTAGTGCATTCAGAAAGTGGTGTGTTCCACTTGGATGCACTGCGTCTGGCCGACCTGCGTGTTTTGGACCTTTCATACACTATTTTGGATAAGAATTTTTCCAATTCTCCTTGGCTTTCTTCATTATCTATCTTGGAAATTTTTTTACCTCATATCCCTACAATTTAAAAAATTGGACCAAAATACCCTTGTATAAATACCCATAATTTCAAAATTTTCACTTTTTCCTCATTTCATTTCAGCTAGAGCGTTAAAAAAGTTCATTCCCGTTTTACTTCCGGAAAACCCAACACTAAGACTTTCGGTTCACATCTTTCAAAACCGGAGAACTAGAGAGTGAGTTTTCTAATTTTTTATTTGTGATGTTTACACACCGAATAACTTGGGGTATAGTTATCTGATTCTTATTTATTCGTCATCGGATAACTTGCCATAGTGTTATTCGGTTTGTAGTTGCTCCTCACTGAATAACTTGGCATTATGTTGTCCAGTTATTATTTATTCTTCACCGGAGAACTAGGGTGGCAGTTTTCTGGTTTGATGAATTTTGACTTTTTTTAGTGGTTCACATTAGAAGACATGACGAATTCATTTATCAACGATATGGTGAAGGACGGAAAACTCAACAGTCGTCGAATCGAGAGGAAGATCAGATAACTGCATTTGTGCCTATTCCACTGCATCCACCATTTTCTAGAGTACCGTGTGATACGTCTCTTTTGGTGAGGTATCAGAACCACATTGCTCTTCATTTGTTGGTTGACAAAGTAAGTTAATTTATGACATTTATGTTGAATCAAATTTAATGTTAATTATTTATATATTATAACATATATTATGAATTATTTTCATGAGAGAATTCCGAAGAAAGAGTTGAAGGTTGTTGCATATGGCAAAAAATTGATTGGATGAGTTCCATATAGTCTCCCACCAGTGATTGAGAGATATTTATCTGATTCTGGTCTATCTTTTCTACAAAGAACCAATTTATCGAGGATAGATCAGAACTTAGTATATGCATTTGTGGAGAGATGACATCCAGAAACATCGTCCTTATGTCATTTGGCGAGAAGACCATTACTTTGAACGATGTTTCTTATCTGCTTCATTTACCGTGTAAGGGAAATAGTATTTTCATTTTAATATTCTAAATATTACTCTCATTTTAATAGTTGTTATTCTAAATTGTAATGTCTTAAGAATATTCTAAACACATTACAATTTAGAATAACAACTATTAAAATATTAACTAAAATATCTCCATATCTTTACAAGTTTTCAGGTTAACATACAGACCATGTAGGCCACATGCTTTCATTCATAACTTTTTTTATTGTCTAAGATTTTTGGTGACTTCAATATGTGCTATGGTATTTGTACGAAGGAACGCTATTTTTTGAGGAGAAGTAGGATAGAAAAATCAGTCTAAAAACCTGAACAAATAAACAAAGTTAACCTCCCTTTCCCATCCATCTTCAACGGTTTCACCCAATTTTCATGACTCTATGTGAAAGCTAGTAATGTTGGCTCTTAATGAGTAGATGTCAAAGAGTAACACACTGTGGATTGTGTTAAATATAATTCATTGTGTAAACAGATTTGATTAGATTTGATATTATATGATTAATTTGATATGATATGATTAGATATCATATGATTAGATTTGATTTAGAATATTTTAGGTCTTTTATGTTTTGGGCTAGTGTAAACCTAAAACTATAAATAGGGTGCCTTGCTTTGTATTCTACATCACAACATAACAGATTTCACAGTTGCAGTTAGCAAGTGAAAGTTCAATAAGAAATCCCACAGTTGTGGGTAACACATTCTCTCCAAATACTTCTTCTCTCATTCTTCTCTTTCTTGTTTGTTATTCTTCTTCTCTTTTGTTGTTCTTGATAATTACTTGTTATTACCATCATTATCATATTGTGGGTTTGTTCATCAATCTTGAGATCAAGATTGAAGGGAATTCTTCATAGGGTGTGAGGTGAATTTCCAACATCATAAAGGTTTTGGGTGAGTATGTGGTGTGTCTCTCACAAAGGTTGCTCTAGAAAAAAGTCCCACAATGTTTAATGCTCCCTAGTTGAAAGTCCAACGGTGGTATAATGAGCCTTTGGTTCGATAAAGGGAACGACTTACTTGTATCAAAGGTATCCCCATAGGTTGTGGGTTGAGTGTCTCGTTGAAGAATGTCAACGGCGGTACAAGGGTGCAGTTGCACGGAAGTTTCCGCTTAAGGGAGAGCATTAGGATAGACTCACACTTGAGGGAGAGTGTTAAGTATTAACAAGTGTGAGTATGATGGATAATAGTCCCACATTGGATAGAAATGTGGTGACTTGAACATTTATAAGTGAGAGAACCCATACACCTATCACCTTAAGGTTTTGGGTGAGTATGTGGTGTGTCTCTCACAAAGGTTGCTCTAGAAAAAAGTCCCACTATGTTCAATGCTCCCTAGTTGAAAGTCCAACAGATTGAACTCAATGTTAGAAGTCATCACCAGTATAGACCGTCAAAGGTTCGAGGAGTGACAGAATATAAGAGCCGTCAACTTTGCCTGGTTTCTCATTATCATACCAATTAAGCCGAATTTTCCCGATCAAACCACCAGTCCTATTAGATTTCAATAACCGCATTCTACACTTGAAACTAAGGTGTGATATACTAATTTGAAGGTAAATGTGACATCAAACACTCCCAAAAAATCTTTTATGTCTAAACCCTAGAGGTGACAATTGGATTCATTAAGACAAAATTCATCAAATCTATTCATCAAAAAATTTATCAAATTCATCCACCACATAAAAAATAAGTTAATGGATTGGATTAAATACATCTATTTATATGCATCGATGGATTCAAACCATCCAACATATTTTAAAGATCCAATGAATTATTTTTATTTTCGTTAGATTTATTTTTTAAAAAACAATAAAAAAATAGATTTTTTTAAAAATAATTATTTTTAAAAGAAAAAAATTGGTTTTATTCAATAAAAAAAGCTGTTTTTTTTTTATAAAAAAAAACATTTGTTTTTAAAATAAAAAATTGATTTTTTTTCCGGAAAAAAAAACCTTTTTTTTTGTAAATTAAAATATCAATTTTTTAGAAAATACAAGAAATTCAAATTTTTTCAATAAAACCGACTTTTTTTTTTGGAAAAAAAACCGATATTTTTAAAAAATTAAAATATCAATTTTTTTTCTTGAAAATACAAAAAATAATTTTTTTTAACAAAAAATTCAATTTTTTTTCATAAATATATTACAAAACAATTTTTTTAAAATACAAAACATGGATTTTTAAAAAATAAAATCGATTTTTTAAAAATAAAAAAAGAATTGGACGTATAGATATCCATCCATTAAAAATATGTTAATGGATGAATTGAATGGATTTTATTCTTAACGAATGAATTCGATTATTTTAAAAAAATTTCAGTGAATTGTTAATGGACTAATGAATTGTTTTGATGCATCCATTAACAATCCAATCCATCCATTTTTTTACCCCTACTAAAAACTATCATAAAAATGCCTCCAAATTTGAAGCCAAATAAAAGAAAAGTACATCAATTGAATCATTGAAACAAAAAGGAGAACAAAACCACAATTAAGCTCATGGAAACAAAAACCACTATATTGTGGCTTATCTTAACAACTTTTGGATGATACTATATTCGGATTTATACAATGTGAAGCCAAAGACAAAGGCTTGGAGGCATGTGCCCCTATTTTATGTATAACAATCCCCAAGAAACAAAGGAAAAGAGAAATGAAACAAAGGAAAAGAGAAATCATTACCCTCTCATCAACAAAGGAAGACATTCCTGATCACTCTGACTACAAATTACAGGATCATCAAATCACATGCATAACTCATTCTTGCAACTTCAAACCTCTAATAAACCTTCTATAACATGTTTTCTAGAATTAAAACTTTCTAGCCCAACACCAAACCAGTATTATAAAATTCCATAGAATCTCTGGATCAAATTAAAATATCATTGTGCCAAGGCTATTCCTGTATCTGCTCCTGGCTGAAGTTTAGAGATTCCCTCCATATGAGCTCCTTTATGTCTTCTTCATCCAGAGTTGTCTGTTCAAAATCAAAGACGAAAGGGGATGGACAAACAGGCTCCTCGTTGATCTCATGAAGACTTGACATATATGGGTGATTCAGTGCTTCCTCAACTATGCCATCATAGAATATAATTAAAACTTAACAAGGAAATGAACAAGAACGAAATGAAAAAAAGGAGGAAGGGAGTATTTAACATAAAGACGCATACCAGTTATGCGTTTAGATGGATCGAAAACCAACATCTTCTCAGCAAGATCAATTGCCAGTGGGGACAGATCAGGAAACCTTTGTGCAAAGGGCTGCTTTTCTACATGCGGGAGCTGCTTAACATATTTCTTTGCATTATCACTTCTGAGGAATCCAAGATCTTCTTCATTTGGTGAACCTAACAACTATTTGGGAAGATAAAGACGAAGAAGTTATTGGTAAAACTTCAGAAGGAAATCATCCTAGCATACAATATTTTTGCAAATTTGACACACACCAACAACCACTAACGAAGTGAGAGGAATAATACCTCAGTTATGAGCGCCAATTGCTGAACATAATCTTTACCAGGAAATAGAGGCTCCCTTCTAATTATTTCCATCAAAATGCAACCAACTGACCATACATCAATAGCAGCAGTATATTCTGAACAGTTCAGTAGTAATTCAGGGGCTCTGTACCAACGAGTCACAACATATTCTGTCATGAAGTCTGTCTCAGAGGTTGTTCTGGCAAGCCCAAAGTCGCATATTTTGAGATCACAGTTTGCATTGAGAAGTAAATTGCTTGGCTTTAGATCTCGGTGCAAAACATTTGCAGAGTGTATGTACTTCAATCCTCTCAAGAGTTGATATAGAAAATACTGCAATGGCATCAAAACACTGCTTAAGCTTTATTCAATTTCAATTCCCTTGCTACAGATCAAATCCATACTACCAAATATGATGGGTGAATTTATAATTCTAAGCTGATGTGCCTTCTTCCAGTCTCAAATATAAGCAAAAATATCTATGTATTTGATCCAAATCTGAACTAAATATACAGACCTTTCTGCTTATATTTGAGACCAAGGGAGTAGTTCACTATCAGCTTCTAGGGAAACTATCAAGGTCTGTTACTGAAAAATTATGTAAAGGTCCTCAGACAACAATAGTTTGCATTATATATAGATATGACATAGTAACAGTGTCACTGTCATTGTAGCATTGTGATGAACAAATTTCTAAAATCACTTTCTTAGTTAGGTTGCATTTACAGATTATAAGCATTTTATAATATTTTGTTCTTCCACTCCATCAAAATAATCACTTAACAAACTTCTAAACTTCAACACAATATGTTTTTTTTTATGTACAATTGCATATTGAAGTTTAAACTTATGACTTCATTCAAACAACTCAAACCGCTTACTATTAACCCAATCCCAGAGGCTTGTTTTGTTATAACATTCAACCTAAAAAATTAGAACTAAATTTTTTTTGTCATGTGTATTGCTTTATAAAACAGTATTGGTGTATATCCCTTTTACACCTCACAAACTCTAGTTCACAAAGTAAATGAGAACTGCATAGGACATATAGGTGGTGTTTGTCTAGTGTCAAAAGGTTATATTCCTAGAAATGATATTCCCAAAAAAACCATAACTGGAAATATTATCATCTGTAAACTTGTAAACATGTGGGGTAAATTTAAAAAAAATGAGATGGAATGAAATGGGGGTGATTCGTAGTTATTGTGTCAGTAGTACAATAACTTATATTCCTGTGGGAATATAACATGCCCCCGGGGGAAAGTAATATCCAAGAGTATTTTTTCAAGACTTCTACAATCCTGGAAAAAAATTCTACATACCTTGTAAAAAACACACTAAGTCAAGCATAAATCAACACATCGTTTACCATTCTCCACTGTATGCCCCATGAGCCCAAACCCACAAATGAGAAGAGAATATATTCACTATCAAATCTCTGTAAGAGCTCTTATGCCCTATGTCCAACAACTATCTCATCATTATTCCTGCACTTAAACAAAACTCTGAGGATTTACCACTACCCCCTTCAATAAACCCTCTCTTTACAGCATTTTCGAATCATTACCCTCTCCTTTTCATTTTTATACCAAACAAATGCAAGCTTACCTCTATGCTCTATCCATAAATGTTCTCTACTTTATCTTTCTCTGTTTCATGCTGCTCATTAACCGCAGTCTGCAGCCACCAACATCTATTTCTTCCTTTTTTTTCTTGACTTCCTACACACTGCACCTTCTTTTGCCTTTCCTTTCTTTCCCCTCCCACGTAAACACACATCACTCTTATTACAAATTCGATATTCAGTCTTGCTATTTGATTTTATACACACAACCAAACCTTATATTTTCACCCCCACCAACTCTCATTTCATTCGTTACATCCATTTCCTCCAGTGTTGAAAAATATCAGCCATGGTAGATTGCAGTGGCAGATCTTTTAACAACCTCCATGGCCAATTTTTGAATGATGGTGGAACCGTGTCCGTTTAATGGCAGATATGGAGGTTTAAAATGCCAATTTATTTGCTTTCCGCAGTCGATAACACTGATTTCCTCACTCCGCAATCCGCAATCACTAACGCTGATTTCCTCACTCCGCAATCCGCAATCACTAACGCTGATTTCCTCACTCCGCCATCTGCAACCACTAACACTGATTTCCTCACTCTGCCATCTGCAACCACTAACACTGATTTCCCTACTCCGCCATTTGCAATCACTAACACTGATTTCCTCACTCCGCCATTTGCAATCACTAACACAGATTTCCTCACTCCGCCATCTGCAATCAATAACACTGATTTCCTCACAGACTCACACCACACTCATCATCCAATCACTATTTTTTCACATTCACAGTTCACACCCTATCACCATCTTGCACAGTCAAACATTTCCCTCACTTTTCCGCGCTTCTACTTTCTCTTACATTTACACTTAATCGTGAAGACAAATACGTTAAACAGTTAGTACCATTCATCTCCGTATGGATTAGCTAATCAACAACTCGAACTTATCTATTAACATAAATACTTGAAAGAGCACTAGGGAGAGCTACTGGTATTTGTTTATTTCACGGCCATAAACTGTTTTCAGCTTATTCCAATAAGCTCTCCATAATAGCTCATAAAAACAACTTCCAACTTACTATATAAAAATAACAACTTACATTTTCTCTCCGATTACAAAAACAGCTTAGGCATAAGCATTACTCAACAAGAGCTTAATTAACTAATTATCCAAAAACACACAATCACTTACCTGACAGTGCTCATCAGTAAGAGCCTGATTAGATTGTATAATCTGATGCAGATCAGTATCCATCAACTCATACACAATATACACATCATTAAATTTTTCCTTCTCAGCTGGATTAATTATATCTTTAATCTTAATCACCTACACAGTAAAATAAACACCACCAAAATCACACCTCTAAATCAAATCAATTAAAATTAAAATTAAAACAAACAAGCACAATTAACGCATACATTATCATGATCCATGTGACAGAGAAGTTTAATTTCCCTAAGCGTTCTCTTCGCATCAATCCTATTATCAAACGCATCGCTAATCTTCTTAATCGCAACACCTTCTTCCGTTTCCGAGTTCGTTGCACAGCTACATAAAAACAGAGTAAAATTGATTAAAAATTTTATAAAAAAATGAAAAAAGTGAAAAGTGAAAAAGATGCAAACCAAACGATGCCGTATGCGCCGCGACCGACGGGTTGAAGAGGAGGAATGTACTTGGAGTAGACTTCAAAAACGTTGCCTAAGACGTTGTACTGTATGTATTTTCCGTCGTGAATGAGAGTTCCTTGAGGTTTCGGGTTCGCCGATTCGGAGATATTTTCCATCGTTTTTCGGTGGAATCGATTGTGCGATTCAAGTTTTGGAAAGAGGGGGAAATTTTGGATTGAGTTTTTTGGATGGGATGGGATGGGGTCGGTGAGGTAAGGCGTGTTTATTGCTTTTTTGGCGTTATGTGTTATTCCACCAAGGAAATTTGATTTCAAATGGTGGAGTTGAAATGGAAATTATTTGTCAAAGCACTTTTGTGGCAGTTACCGATTATTAGTGGCGACGACTAAAGACTTTGAAAAAGGTAAATGGATATTCTCTTATCGGTCCCGTACTCTTTTCTTTTTAAACAAAAGAAAAAATCATCTTAATATTAAAAGAAAAATCATTTGATAGAATGCATCATAATATATACCATCCCTTATAAGCAAATTTTATTTTTTAGATTTATTATAAAATTAATGTATTTGATCTATATATAGATCAGATATATTAATTATTTAATAAATTTAAAAAGTAAAATTTGCTTATAATATGGAATAGAGTAGTATATACACTCTGATCAGAAATAAATCAAAGGTCAGTAACACGCCGTAATCTCCAACGTTAGGTGAGAAAAAAAGAGGGTGTACTTGCAAGGCTGTTGACTCCTAATTCTGATGCCTGAATAAAGTTAAAAATAGAAAATAGATTTTTTTGAAGATATCTAATTACTTCGACTAAAACTATGTTTTTTAGAATGAGAATCGAAGACGTCTTTTTGCTAGGAGGATCTATGTTATGGACTTAGAGATATTCCTCAGCAGTTGGAAGACCCAATTTGACAGAAGTGTTGCTAAGGGGCATTTCGACAAGTTTGTTTGAATTCAAATAAAAGAGGGAAAGTTTGTTTTTTGAGAAAGACACGTGGAACGTCCCTATGGTTCGAAGGCGTGCGCATTGACACTTGTCTTGATTTCATTTGTTAGCCGTTAATGGCAATTATGTTCGATGGTTATAAATAGCAGGTCTTAGTGTTAAGATGTGTGTGTTCAATTGTGTACAAAATCTTCATCTACTCTAAGTATCCATGTGATTGAGAGAAACGAGTTGTGAGAATGTACGTTGACGAAACACCAGTTTTTATTTCAATGCAATTTGATACTTCTTTTATTTAAGAGTTTATCTTTTCTCTATGTAAGTTCTTATCCTTGTTATTTATCATCATTTTAATCCCTTTTGTCGTTACTTAAATTCATTTACACTTGAAATAAGTTGCCTTACCATGGAACTTGCCGAAGTGTTCATAGTTTTCATACACTTCATTTAAAAGATCAATTAACACATGTCTTAGGATTTGTATGGTCGATCCTGCAAGTAACACATATCTTTTTTCGATTTGTTAGACTAGCGGTTGTTCATCAATTTTCACGGCTAACAAATTGGCACGCCCAGTGGGACAATACTAAATGATTACAAAAATCGTTTTAAAAAAATTCTCTGGAAAAAAACTTTATTAGTTCTGTGGTAAAAAATTTTTTTGAGAAAAACTTCGTTACATGTTATTGAGAAGTGGTAGGATAGCCACTGTTAACAAATATAGACAAAGAAGGATATATAGAAGGAGAATAGCAATGAATCTAAACCAGTCAAATAATCCTCAGGATATCTCGAATAACAATATAGAACAATCCATAGGAGCTTCGACAGGGGGATCAACGGTCTCAACATCTGTTTCTAAGGCAATACTGTAACGCCCATTTTAATTATTTTTGGTTTCAGTGTTATTTTACTCACGGATGTGTTTTGGTGAAATGACTTGGAGGATCAAGAACTCATGATATTGGTATGCAGTGATAAAAATGTGATAATTAATAGCAATGTAATATTATTATTAATTATTATCATTATTATTACTAATATTAACATATGAGAAAAATATAATTAAATGGAATTTTGGAAATTAAGTGGATTTGTGAATTAAAGGAAATAAGAGGATTATTATTATTATTATGGGAAATTATATATCATTTGGAATAAGGTTAATTTTGGGGGTATTGGGGGTAAAGGTGGAATATTGGAAAAAAGGGAAGAAGAGAACACGCATGAGGAGAGGAAACACGGTCGAAGGAGAAGAACACGATCAAAACAGGAGTTAAAACTTGAGCAAGGGGATTATCAAGACTATCAATTCGTGTGGATTTGTAAAGGTTCATCATCATCAGAATTACTTCGAGGCAAGGGGGGGGGGGGAATTGATCGGTTAAATTCGGTATCGCATGAAAAATTGGTAGAACGGGGAATTCCCTAAACCCCATAGATGAATGATGAAATTATGTTGTTGCATGTTGTTGATTTCTATTGTAATTGTGATTATTTTGTTTGAGTTCATTGCATGTGTTATGGAATGGTTGTTTGATGATTTTGGGTTTCCGATAAATTCAGAGTTAATGTCGGAAGTTGGAGAAATGAGTAGAACTGAGGATTTATCGAGTATGAACTAGGATAATCGGTTAAGTCTTGTGGGATAGTACTGTACTGGTATAGTGTAGGATTTCGTGGGATTTAATCGGACGAAATCGGAGTGTGGGGCTGTTTCTGAACAGTAGTTTTTCTGCAGAATTCGCGTGCATTCGCTGGGTGAATGGGGGCGAGCCTTCGCCAGGTTTCGCCAGGCGAACTGGGAAGCGAATGCTGCCTGTCGCTTCTGTTTGGCTTCGCTAGGGGTTTCATCGGGTGAGTCCCAGCGAGTGTTCACTGCAGGGCTTCGCCAGGCGAATGGCAGCGAGCATGACAGCATTTTATGGTTTTGATGCTGTGTTGTTCTGTTTCTCGCGTGGTTAGACCCTTGTTGGTCGTGAGCGAGTACGTGGTTATCGTGGATTGGTTGAGAGCATGAAGGTGATGTAGGGAGCGTGTGCTTGAATATTCGTTGATATGAACGATTAAACCAAAGTACGCTGTGATGCATAAAGTGGCTATGTATCCTTTGATTAGGAATGAATACGTGTGATACGGGAGTGTGATTCTCGTGGTAATTGTATAACCGAATAAGTGACCTGATATACGTTATGAGTGTATGTGATATTGTAAGAAACTCTTGAGATGTGGTTGTATGAGATTCAGGTAATAGGTGACGAGCATAGCAGAACTTTGTTTTCCCTGGAACGGTGTGCAGCTGTGATTGCTGAGTGTGGCCAGTCTGAAGTACCGTGATGATTTATGGGTGCTAGGTGTATGTTGGGTGTTAGAGGGCTATGTGGTTGGCATTTAACGCATTCGACGTGATCGGTGGATTATGTGGTATAATTATATGTGTGTGCTATATGTTGAGTGACCGTAGATTAGTAGGATCGGGTACGCCTTAAGTGCGTTGTGGTGATATGTTGTGATGAGAGGATCCGTAGGATCGATACGCTTTATATGCGTCGTGTTTATGTGTTGTTGTGATGATTGGGTCAGTAGGACCGATATGCCTTAGGTGCATGATGTGTGGTATGTTGTGTGGTGAGTTGATCGGTAGGATCGGTGCACTTTGTGTGCTTGTGTATGTATGCATATTATGATGCGATGGACCAGTGGGGTCGTGTGCACCGTGTGTATGCTGTGTGTGAGATGTGAGGATCGGTACGCTTATTATGCGTTACATTTGTGTACTGTTATGTGATGTATTTGGGTCAGTAGGACCGACATGCCTTGTGTGCATTGTATGTGATAAGTTGTGTGGTGAATGGATTCGTGGGATCGACGCACTGTGTGTGCTTGTTATGTATGTGTCACACCCTAATTTTGACCCTAAGACCCCGACTCCTGGTTGTTTTTTTTTATATTTCTTGCTTGTTTATTTTAATTTTTTATGTGTACGCTTATTACGGCTAACCAGTTGTGCAGGTGCAGCAATATGAAATGTTAATCCTCACAGTCAAGCATTTCAAATATAATCATCCTGATTTAAAAATTCTAAGGTCTTTCTACTAAGCCTTTGCCTCCAGAGCCCTTATTGGTTCCAATGGGAGTATCTTGGATCAATAACTTACAACTAAAGTATAGCCTGAGATGATTACTTCGAAGATCAAAGTCAAGCTCACGAGGTTTTCAAAAGGAAATCTATATTAATATGTTGGGGGTTTGATCTTATCCAAGCTCACAAATAAATTCATACTACTAAAAGTGTCGTATATTTTGAAAGATATAACCATTGGATTTCAACTAGATAGGTTTCCTTTATCATAGAAGTGGGATTTTCAAAGTATGTTTCCAAGCTGTCCGGATTGCACCGTTTCAGAAAATCAAATTTATTTACTTAAGATTGTACAAGCTGCTGAGGAATAATGTATTCCCAATCGGTACTACTTTCCAATTACAACTCAGACATTTCGGGTCATTTATCCAAAGGAACACACGGTTTTCAAACCGCAACCCAATTTTCTGCTATACAAAATACAAGTCAAATATCACGGCCACAACTCTACCAAGTTTTAATATGGATCTAAATTACATTTCAATTCAAGATAAAAAGGCGTCATTATCATCATCAACTTTCATAAATTTCCAAACACAGCAGATGCAATTTATGCTGCCTCCTTCCATCCACCTTCAAGGACCGTGATAACGGCATCACGTTTTTGGTTTGATTATGAGAAGATCAACAGAAATCACCATGACAGTGATGAGGAGTTAACCATAACACCTAAAAAATATGCTTACAGGAGAGACAATTTGCAAGGAATTTCAAACCAAAGAATTGTATTCATTCTCCAATATTCAAAGAACTCAGGCCAATGCAGTATCTATTACATTTAGAACTCTAAACTGCTGCTACTCATTTACAACCGCAAGCTTCGGAGTTTCCACTCTGATATCCCGCCTACACCTATAATCTCATCCAAGCCTGGTACAAAGCAGCAACATTATGTCGACGGAACCTTCCACTACTCTTGTCACCTCAAAGCTTTGGCTTCCACTGTCGACTTTGGTTGAAATACCAATGGTCTACCCAAATTGTGAGCAAATTAAGGCTACTTCTACTCATCGTTGTATCTCGGACTCGGTTTAATCCCGCGACACTTCCAGAATC